GTCACCAATCATAAACACAGAATCGCTTTTCCTTTCAGACCCGGCGCCCGAACAGCAGCGGGGAGTGCGAACATTTTCACATTTCCTTGTGGGTCATCTTAGCCCCAGGCAATAATATCACAGTGCGGACATTGAAAGCAGCCAAGTCAGTGCTGGGGTGAGGATGATGCATAGAAGGACCCACCACTCTCTTGACTTTGGCTGAGGGGAGTTCAGATGAGGGGAGGTCCTTCGGGGAGACCCCCTTGCCCCTCAATCCAGCGCAAGGCTTCTTCTCAACAAGTCGGCCTCAAGCGAAGCGAAGCTGTGGCAAAGCTCTCTTTTCTTTCCAAAGGTATTGCACAAAACTATTTTGGTGGTGATTTCTCACGCTTCTGAACCTCCGTGATTCCCAAGCGACGCTCCTCCGGTGGCCTTCTGGGACCGAGCGGGTAAAGGGGGCTAAAGAGTAGCCAAAACCCGTAAGAAGGAAATGATCACCACACAGAAGGTCTGTCCCACTCCCCAAGTCAGAGCCTCAAAGGGGATCATCTTCTTCCCGGCAGCTCGGTAGACTCCAGCAATCGCAGCACCTATACAGGAAGGGGGGGGGGAGGGAAAATAACACTTTCACTGGGCTGCCACACACCTCTGGGGGGATTTCTCCCTGTTCCCAAAGACAGGCCGTTCTTGGCCTAGGATCCTAACGGGTGATGTGTACACCAGGCCTTTCCCCTGCCAGGATCCAGAACTCTAACCCAACAAATTCTGCCAGAATCAACCTACTTGTTAGGGTCCCGGCAGCTAACGGCCCAACGAGGCCCATCAGGAAGATGCTGACTGGCATGAACCGGCCGTATCGGTGCCTCCGGAGAGTGAAGAGAGCCAGTAGTCCTGCAGGAATGTGGAAGAAGAGAGACGATACCAGTGCCCACAGGAAGATTCCATACCACATCTCTGCAGCGGGAGAGGAGGGAAGAGCAGCTCAGAACAACAACCTTGGAATGGCTTCCACCAATAACCCCTCCAGAGGTTGCTCTCCCCATAGCAAAGGTCAAGGCATTTCTCCAGAGTGGCGACCTAATTAAGGCTTTCTTAGGTGGGGCCTCCAGAAACTGACAGCTTCTTCCAGAAGAGCCGGGAATTCCAGAAGGTGCAGCTTTTCCCAGATGGAAGAGATTCACTCGGGGGGGGGGGGGGGGCATTCCACATTTTAGTCAGGTTAGACCAGTGTCTCCCAACCTTGGCAACTTCAAGATGGGTGAACTTCAACTCCCAGAATTCCCCAGCCAGCATGTACAGGCCCTTTGCGGCATCCTTGTGGTCACGTTATTACATTTTATGCCCGTTTTTCTGAAAACTGGCTCTTTTGATTTTCGGTAAAAGCAGACCCATAGGAAACCACGGGGTCATTTAACTGTGCTTGGCTAGTCTAATGAAGAGAAGGACCAGGGGAGACAGGAGAACATTCGTCCAATATTTGAGGGGCTGCCACAGAGAGGAGGAAGGGGTCAAGCTATTTTCCAAAACACCTGAAGGCCAGACAAGGAACAACGGATGGGAACTGAATAAGGAGAGATTCAACCTGGAAATAAGGAGAAACTTTCTGACAATGAGAACAATCAACCCATGGAACAGAAGTTGCCCTCAGAAGTTGTGGGAGCTTCATCCCTGGAGGCTTTCAAGAAGAGACCAGACTGCCATCTGTCAGAAATGGTATAGGGTCTCCCGCTTGGGCGGGGGGTTGGACTAGATGACCTATAAGGTCCCTTCCAACTCTGATTATCTGTTAACCATTGCTGCATTTGCTTAATGACCGCTGTAAAAAAGCTGTAAAATCGGGTCAGTAACAGATCTATTTTATGACTGTCACGACTTACAGCCGTAATGGGCAGAGGCTCCATTAAGCTCATATGTTGAAAACTACCTGTACATCTTTCCTGGTACCTCACCTTTAGTGAGCCACTTCAGGGTACAGGTATTCCTCAGTTTGACAAGGGTCATCGGGGCTGAAATTTCCATCACTTAAGTAACGTGGTTACTGAGCTCTGCTCAGCGATGGCAAACCTGGCAGGCCCAGGTACCATCATTAAGCAAAGCTTGTGGGTCATTAAGTGAGGAGCGGCTGACTTCCGGCTGGCTTTCCACAAAGTCAATGGGGAAGTCGGCAGGAAGCAGCAAGTCCTCCGCGGACAGGTAAGCGACTGCTACGGCCCAACCTGAAGGTTGCTGGGGTGAGGAGTGGAAGGATGTCAGGACTGCCATTCAGCTATGCTATGCATTGTTTGCTGTCAGCCTGCCATATTGTGGTGGCGGTGGAGGGGAATGTCACACGAAGGAATGCAGAACCATCCAGCCTATGAAGACAGGGACTGTTACCCAAACAATTTGTTAGCACCTTATTCAGAGGTCTCCAAACTTGGCAACTTTAAGACTTGTGGACTTCAACTCCCAGAATTCTCCAGCCAGCAGAGCTGGCTGGAG